CCTACATGCTTACTTACATTACAAAGAACACCATGAGAATGGAGCCACACAACCCTTGCTCTCATGCTGCCCCTCTTAGTGTGAAGCCAGTTGCCTATGACTAAGAAAGCACACGTCTATCTGTGGCAGGTGCTGTTGGTGTGTTTCCCCCAGGCACCTCCCAATGCTGATGACTTGGGGCAACCCAACAGCACACCAAGAACATTGGGATTGAAATCCACAGACCCAGCACTCAGTTCTGGCTGTGCTGGATAATAGCTGTTCTACCTCCAGAGAATTGTTTTATTGCCTAGACTTTGGTTTTGCATTTATAAGTTATAGGTTTATCACTAGAACACTGCCCAAGTCCCTTCTAGCTCTAAAATGATAGGGTCTAGTATTCTTATTACACATCCTGCAAGTTACTATTGTGTTCAATTGCCCTGAATGGGAGGTTATATGAGAGTGTCTTGACCGCCTGGATATTCGAAAAAAGGTATAGAGGATGAGCAACTTTCCAAAAGCGGACTTTGAGGATAGCATGTTTATAGCTTTTTTAAAGTATTGTTGAAATTTAAACTACCTTGTAAATAAGGAAAACTTAGATAATGGTGACTAATCCAGGCACAAAGGAGAGGTTGTCACATCCCTCTTAAACATTTGCAGAGTTTCTTAAAGCTGGCAGCCTTTTGCATATTAAGAAAATGAAGCACACATTACTCATTGGCATGGGAGATGATAACATGAAGATAATATTCTGCAGACACATTGATCCCTTTCTTTGCTTTTTCCCAGGGTTTTCCAGGAAACACAAACGCAGACAGTGTGGTGCACTACAAACTCCAGCCTCCTTTCGAAGCCCGATTCATGCGCTTTCTCCCCTTAGCCTGGAACTCTAAGGGCAGGATTGGGATGCGGGTGGAAGTGTACGGATGTGCATATGGTAAGTGGTGTTTGTTCCCCGACTGACATCAGTGACTCGGTGACGTGTTCTAAACAGCAATCTAAAAACTGAACTTGACTTTTTTAGCCTTTCGAATATCTCTGTACATAGAACTGGTTTTTTTCTTTTCTTTTTTTTTTTTTTTTTCGGAAAACCTTCATAACATTCTTTAGTTATTCTATAGTTGAATTTAGAGATGGATCTGACCTGAGCCTTAGAATCAGATTCCTAGAATTAGCAGAGTACTTTATAGTAGGCACTTCATAAAATTAATGGCATTCATTTTATTCCCTCACTTGTTACGTAAGAATTTTTTGGACACTTGCTATTTGCAAAGACCTGTGTTAGGTACTGGATGCAGGAGACACTTAAAATTATTCATTTTTTTGGTCAAGATTTTATGAGAAATTATAAAATTGTTCAAAACAAATGTAAAATATTGTAACTTGAAAATGGGGCTTAGAGTAGAGTGGTCAGTCAGTTAGATTGGGAAAAGAACCTTTCCAGCAGCCAATTTTCAAAATGAAGAACATGAGTAGTGAGATAGAAGGGAGGAGGATATTTATAGAAAGAGAGGGCCTACATAAATTGTGGAGCAGGAACTTAGGGCTCTGTTAATGTATGGGTGGGGGAAAGTGTGGGCACTGCAGGGTGCTGTGAGTGGTTGAATAGCAGTGGTACCATATCCACTTTGGGAACCCCATAGACAGTGAATGGTTCTGAATATGAGGCTCACCCAAGCAGCCCTATCGCAGACTCCAGGGCCTGTCCAGCCTTTGTCATCTCCCTTCCCAATGACACTTCACTTCTTTTCCTAACCCTGCTTCTGCTCTCTAGTGTTTATAATTTCATGGAATGTTTAGCATAGATGGTATTACATTCCTGTCAACCTTTTTCCCCCTTTTCATTTGTCATTTCCTTCCATCCTTTTGTTTCTGGGCTCTCTGATCATGCTCACTGTGGCAACAGCTAGGATACCTGATACTTAGAGCTGTTCTTTGATTCCATGAAATTAGCTTCCCCTTCTCCCATTACTCTGGAAACAACTTCAGGTTTACTGACTTCAAAGCAGAACAAGCTCTTTGATAGGGATTTGTCGTTAGCTTGATGTTCTTCTTAAGGAGATATTTTGCCAGTTCCTTGGGTTAGAGGTTGGTACTAGGAAGATCAAAGTTTCGTGTCTGGTCCCAAGAGGGGCCTGTTGGCCGTACAGCTATCTTAGGACCTATGTGCATTTTACATTCAGCAAATGTAAACTGTTGGGCACAAGGGGCTCCTAGCATAAGAATGTAGGCAGACAATAGTCACTATTTGTAAAACAACACAAAGTATGTCCTTTAATAGGAGTGATTCTGTATTGCCTTCATTTTTATTATTAATAAGAATCATTGTTAAAGCATAGTACTTTGCATTTTTATTGACAGTAATTTGATATGATATGGTTTGTAGACAAAAGTGATAATTTTTTTTTTTTTTTTTGTATTTCCACTGCTCTGTTGATATTGAGAAAATGCCCACATTACTTATCATGGCATATATTGTCTCTTAGATGCAATCTCTCTTTTCAGTTTCATTTCTTTGCACCCACTTACAATGATACTCACTCTTCCTTTAAACATTGTAGCTTCCTGGCATGGC